TGGAGTTGATTAAGGATTATGATTGTAAGATTGATTATCATCTAGGGAAAGCTAATGTGGTTGCAGATGCTCTCAGTAGAAAGACTAGTTCTTCCTCTTCAGCTAGTGCAGTTTATGCTTCTTTGATTTGTGAATTCAAGAAATTGCATGCTCATTTGTCAGCTACTACGGCAGGTGCTGTATTAGCTCATTTTCATGTGAGGCATACTTTAATTGATAAGGTCATAGAAGCTCAAGCCCAAGACTTGACAATGAGAACTTTGAAAGAAGAAGTTAGTGTCGGGTTACGAACGGATTATGTTATTAGGAATGATGGTGCATTGGCTATGGGTAATAATAGATTATGTGTTACAGATATCCCAGAATTGAAGAAGGAAATTTTAGAAGAGGCACACAGTTCTGCTTATGCTATACATCCAGGTAGTATTAAAATGTATCGTACATTGAAAGATCATTATTGGTGGCTTGGTATGAAGAGAGAGATAGCAAATTTTATATCCAAATGTCTTATATGTCAGCAAGTAAAGCCAGTTTGTCAGAAAATAGCAAGACTTTTATAGCCATTGCCTATTTCAGAGTAGAAATGGGAGCACATTACTATGGACTTTTTATTTGGTCTTCCTCGTACTCAAAATGGTCATGATGGAGTTTGGGTGATTGTAGATCGTTTGACCAAAACTGCCAAGTTCTTGCCAATCAAAGCCACTTATACTTTAAATAAGTTGGCAAAGTTGTATGTGGATGAGATAGTGAGCTCTTATGGTACTCCATTATCTATTGTGTCAGATAGAGACCCTATTTTACATCTAAATTTTGGCCCAGTTTGCAGGAAGCCGTGGGTACTAAACTACATTTCAGTACAGCTTTTCATCCTCCGACAGATGGCCGATCAGAGCAGACCATACAGACTCTTGAGGATATGTTGAGGGCTTGTGTTTTAGAGCTCAAGGGTAGCTAGGATACTCATTTGTCATTGATGGAGTTTGCTTACAATAATAGCTACCACTTTAGTATAGAAATGGCTCCTTTTGAAGCTTTATATGGTCGAAAGTGTAGAACACCAGTTTGTTGGGATAAAGGTGGTAAGAGGAAATTAGTAGGCCCTGAATTGGTTAAAATGACGTCCGAAAATGTGAATTTGATCAAAGAAAAGTTGAGAGCAGCATAGGATAGACAGAAAAGTTATGCAGATAAGCACAGCAAAGACCTTGAATTTGCAGTAGGAGATAAAGTTTTTCTTAAATTATCTCCTTGGAAAAGGGTGTTGAGATTTGGCAAGTAAGGAAAGTTGAGTCCACGATATATTGGACCCTATGAGATTGCTGAGCGGATTGTTGAGTCCACGATATATTGGACCCTATGAGATTGCTGAGCGGATTGGCCCAGTTGCATATTGATTAGATTTACCAGATGAATTATCTCGAATCCATGATGTTTTTCATGTTTCCATGCTTCGTAAGTACATTGCTGATCCTTTTCATGTTCTAGAGTCTCAGCCAATCCAGTTGAAGGAAAATTTAACATATATAGAAGAGCCAGTGAGAATTTTAGACAAAAGGTGCAAATTCAGCGAAACCAGACAGTTTCACTTGTTAAGGTACTTTGGCAGAATTAAACAGTAGAAGAGGCTACGTGGGAGAATGAGGATCAGATGCGTGCTTAATATTCTCACTTATTCATTAACTAGTCAGTTGCCAGTTGAATTTTGAGGACGAAATTCTTTTAAGGAGGTAAGATTGTTACAACCCACATTTTTATCTAGTCAAAGTCAAGAGTGGAATTTTCAAAGTCAAGTCAATTAAGGACTAAAATGAAATTAAATATTTTATTTGGATTTATTTTGCAATTGGCAAAATATGAAGGTTAAATTGGATACATTTTAAAGTTGGGAATTTACTTATATATTTTTGGAAGTTATAGGATTAAATGTCATTCAAAAGGGAGTTGAATGACTTATTTTACAATTTTGGGTAAGTGGACCATTATATTCAACCATTGACCCATTTTCACTCAAACACACACACACACACACACACTGAAGAAAAATGGGCAAAAGCTGGAGACCCAAAAAAGGAAGAAAAATTAGGGGAAAAGGGAAGAAAAAAGGAAAGAAGGAGGGGAAGAAGAAAAGGGAACAAGAAGAAAGGAGGTAAGACTAATCTCTTCAAGTTTGGGTTGAATTTTTCCATTTGTTTTAAGTGATTAAGTATGAATTATATTAAAATTTAGGGTTTTATTTTGGCTCGAAATTTTCAGATTTTTTGAGATGAATACTACTTGGAGCTCAAGTTATTAATTCTTGAATTTCTATCTACATTAAGGTAAGGAGATGTCAAATTTTTTTTTGGGGAAACCCTAGAATTTGATTTTGAGATTTTGATTAATTAATTGTGAAAATGATTATATAAATGGAATATTTCACTTGGGAGTTGATTTTATGGAACAAATTTATATTAAATGGGTGGAATTGTGGTTATTAGTTTCACTGGATTGGAAAGTAAAATTAGTTTTAAACTTAGGAAGAATGTTTTGTTGATGAATTAGTTATTAGAAAAGGAATTAGAAAGTGGGATTAGCTCCAATTGATCAAAAGAAAATTTGAGAATTTATTCAAGTGTCAAGAGAATTTAAATTAAGTTCTATCATTAGTTATTAAGGTTTCTTAATTAGATAGAGGATAAATTGGTTATTAATATCGTATTTCAGGTGGTGACGAGGAAATTGGAAACATTTATCAGGTAATCTACCTTATAGCTCCTATCTTGTGAGTTGATAAAACTTATTTTCATAAATAAGTCTTCTTTGAATTTTAAAGTTATTTTATTTTATAAAGTTGACTTCATAGCAAGATTTTCAGAATAAAATGGAGTTTATTATCAATTTCTTTTAAAGTTAAATTCAGTTCAATTAAATTATTTTAGTAGCATGTTATATTCTTATTACATGTTTCAGTATAGTTAAAGTTATTTCTAAAAACCACCAGAAAGTACTCAGGTGATTTTACCCCAGTTTGCACTAATGTGAATGTTTCCACAGTGTATGACTAGTTATAGTGATTTTACCCACTCTGCACTATCGTGAATGTGTTTTCATAGTGTATTACCAGATTATCAGAGGTCTTTGGGACCCACTCTCGTAGACACATAGGCTTTGGGCCGTGTACTAAGGTAATTAGCCTTTGGGACAGCTCTGCGTACGTATGACCAGATTATTAGATTTGAATGGCTTTGCCTTGTACATCGAGATTACTCTGTATATGAGTAAGACTATTCATTGGGTACTCTTTTTGGTATGATTTTTCAGCACTTATTCAGTTCTCAGATTTTAGATTATGGAATTCAGTTAATTCAGTTTTCAGAATAAAGCTTTCAGCTTATAGTATTGACCAGTAGTAATATTTCATAGATTTTCATGAATATCAGATTATTCGTTAACTTTACACTACTTATCTAGAATTTAGAACAAAGAATTTTATAATGTAATCATATTTAGTTTTTAAAAGTATTACTAGATTCAGAAATTCTCAAGGATTTAATAAATTTAAAATTTTTAGAAAATATGCATAAATGAAAAAATTTTACTTATTTGCAAATCGTCCACTCACTGAGTTACGAACTCATATTTTTGTCATGTTTTTCCTATCAGGAGGCCGTTGATTTTGAGGTACTTGGAAAAGCCTGCCGAAGTGAAAGAGACTGTTTCATAGTATGTAATGAATAGTTGGGGGACTCATGTTTATTGAGTACTTTGTCTAATATTTGGGGTGTCATGCACTTTGTAGAAGGGTTTGTAATTGATGTAATGCTTGCATGTAGACATGATGTTATTATAGAACCACTCAGTCGAGTTTTGTTATATTTTGTTTTAGTTGTGGTGGTATTAGTAGAAGTGGTGGTTTCTAAAACTTTTGGTTTGAATGTCTATTTGAGGTTTTGATGGTTTTTCAGGTTGGTTTTGTCCATTTTTTAGGGGAAACTTTGTCAAAATTTTCATAGAAATATAGCACAGTCAAAATAGGTCATGTTTGCCTTGCTGTTAGGTCCGGCATTTAGCTGGCATCTACCACCGGTGCACGACACTTGTCAAGTCATTTAGCTTGAGTTGGGACGGGTCTTGTCATCTCCCTCCATAAAACCCTTTATATAGTAGTAATATTAGGTTAATCCAGTTCCTAGTGTCTAATAATCTGATGAATGAAAGTATAAATGAACCTCCTTCATGGAGCAGCAGAATAATACCTGGTGCTAGAGTTACTTCAGATTTTGGGGCTGCTTTCAGCTGAGTATTAATTGGTTTAAGTGTAGGAAGTTCCACTGAATAGACAATGAATAACTATACAAATCTTGTGAGCAAACTGCCAGATAAAACTTCAAATTTGGAAGAACAAAAGTCATTGAACTGAACATATGTGGAAGGAGTTGGTTGTATCCATCGTGAGCTCCATGTAGCTTTGCTAATTAGCCCATAATGGGGGCATTGTTGTAGGTAGCAGGTTAAGTTTGCTTGTAGTTACCTCTGTGAACACCAAAGTTGTCATAAGCGTCAGGGCCTCCAGCAGGTACACCAGTAAGTATCATGTCCCTTCTCTTACTGCTGAACCAAGTGCCATAACCTAGGGGATTTCAAATCAATTTCCTAACTGAATTCAGGTCATCTTACCAACCAGAAAGACTGCAATTATAGTTGTTGAGAATCTATTTAAACGTGCACAGTGGAATTAAAATAAATTTCGATTCCCATCAGGATTCATCTTTGTGTTTTGATGGAAATTGGGATAAAAATCATACTTTTTGCTAGATCTGCAAATTTCTTTGCTTTTTCTTTGTTCCAATGATTTTGATTCGCCACTTATAACTATTCAATTGTCCAGCCTCCAATGGTAACCTACACAGAGAGCAAGATTACAGGACTAGGATTTTCTTCTTATACTAGCAAGAATAATGAATTTTCTATCAAATTGTAAACCCTAATTACTTATTTATATAAGTCTAAACGGGCTTGGTCTCATCCAGTCCAATATTTAATTAGCCCATTTAATTAAATCTGGTCCATGAATTAATTGATCCAATTAATTAATTCAGGCCTATAAATAAGCAACTCAATTAATTAATTTATCCAACAATTGTTAAATTAATTAATTGACAAATTACGATCTTTCAATTCCCTTTTTTGTGTGACATCAGGTTCCCGATCACGATACCTAACGACGTAAACTATTATTTTGATCTAATCAAAATTAATAAATTAAAACACCCTTTTAATTTATCACAAATTCACACTCGTCGTCCCATATTGACATCTAGCAATGTGTCAGGATAATATATGAGACGAAAAATGTCATGTGGTATGACAATCAAACTCGTTTGTTTAACGTGTATCTATAATCCCTTCATCAATATGATCTGATCAATTACGAGATATAGAAGTGTGTCAATCCCGATTATCGATCATATCTTTCACTCTACTATTGAGTCAATATAAGTTGAAAACTCCTTTTTGACTTATGAGTACACCTTGGCCAAGGATTTCGTTATCGACTTAATTGAATGAAATGCAGATCATAATCTCTTACTATTTAGGAGAGACGAATCCTCTATTAATCATTCACAACCTTCATACGATTCTTGACATACATGAACGATGCCGTATTAGCGGCTCTTGGTAAAGCAACATCCAAACCGCCAAAGTATGACTGTCCTTATATAAGGTACCATGACGACCTCAAGTCAAAGGACCAATTCCACTACCGAACGTTAGAGATTAACCACTGACACTCAGATAGTTATCCATGTGGAATCTCTCAGTGGGTCTCCAATATTCTGTTCTATAATAAAATATCTACGTATTCATTTAAGTGTCACGACACTTCAGCTTGTGAGATTAGTTACTTATTTTACAAGTAAGAAATACCACACGTGATGGTCTATCCGTAGTAATGATATCCGTATCTCGTTATTA